CGCGCCTCTCCACCGATATAAAGAGGGGACAGAAGAAACCTCGAAGTGGCGGGTGCAGTTTCTCGCGAGGATCGAACACGAAGGATTTATCGGCGGGGCAGCCGAATTCTTTTGGAATCTGACCGTTAAAAAGATCGGTTATCCAGTGTCGAAGAATCTTGGTGGTCGCGAATTTTAATCCATTAACACGGTAACGGTCGAACAAGTGTATTCTTGACTGCTGCTGCTATCTACCGACGAAATTTCTAAATATTGCCTTTACGATGTACAAAGGTGTATATATATATATATATACGTTTCAAGTAAATATTAATTTTTTGGATAACCGTTTCTATTTTTTCTTCTTAGTCAAAGGTGTTTTATTAAAGAAATTATACTACGATTATTTCGAACTCGATGAGAAATATTATTAATTAAAAGTGATCCCTGAATTTTTTTTCGATAAAGAAAAAAAATAGAAAATTTATCTTCCATCGATAAACACGATGCTCCAAGCTCGAGATAAACAAAGACTCCAATTTTAAGGCTCCACCTTTAGGAGTAGCCTAATGGCAATTAAATATCCCCAAACTAATTGACAATTATAGGGTGTCGAAGGATTCTCTGTTTGCTTTCCTCCACTTCTCGAAGAAAAGAGGAGCAGAGGAAAAAAGAAAGAGAGAGAGAAAAAGAAAAAGGTTCCTGGCAGGTAGGTGCAACAAGGGGAGAGGGGAGAGTTTATACGTATACCTGGCCTCCTCGTAGAGCTGTGTAGAGTGTAGAGATCTGAAGGGAGCAGGAAGGGTCGAGAAGAGAGAAGCGTTATAAGCCACGGGGCCCCAAAGGACCCTCCCGGTCCGCATGCATGGAACTCGACGGAGAGGAGGGGGAGGGGGAGGAGGAGGAGGAAGAGGAGAGGTCCGAGAGGTGACGACAGCGAAAACTAGTTTATTTGGGACGCGGCTATAAATTAGGATCAGATCGCCACGCGATAAGAGTACCGGCTAACACCCGGTTCCCTTTCCAACGTGGCGCGTCTCTTTCTCTTTCGCGTTGTCTTCCAAGGTGTCCTCTCTCTTCCCTTCCCCACCCCCCCCCTGCTCGACACCTTCTTTCACTCGTTGTTGTTTGGCCAAGGGAAGTGGACGAAGAAGGAGTCGGTTAAGTTAGGTTTCTTAAAGTTGAATCTCTATCCACGGTGAATAATGCGGGGGAAAAAGTTGATCGTTTGCTCCAAACGGCGTGTTAATTAATAAGCGGGGTTTATTCCTCGTTTCTTCTTACGTGCGTAAAATCAAGAGATCAGAGTTTTTTATTTGCAAATCATCGCAAATATTTCGTCGATATTTCTTCTATATTGAAAATTATGCGTGAAACAATATTTTTAAAGATATTTTAAAAGAAAAATATTTACTTTTATAATATAAAAGAGATGATATCATCTCAAGCGCGAAAGAATAAAAGTGAACGAACGAACAATGAACGATGAAATTATTGATTTCCAAATTTTTTCCTGTTCAAAAAACTGGCCGTCAACATGTTTACCACGGCTATGAATCAGATAACCTTGAAAGGGGGAGGGGGGGGGGAGGACGATACCTTCGAAAAACGTGAGCGAGACAGAAAAAAATGGAAATAGAAAAAAATGTTGTTAAATGAATCTCGTTCTCTTTGTGAAATGGTCGAAGCCAATTGATATCACGATATTGCGGCCAACTACTTTTCTATTAGCGGGACGTTGAAAGAGATATTGCCGGGAAAGATAGATATATCTGCCTAATTTACGCGTTTCCTATTTTATCTACGACGAAGTTTTCCTCTGCACGTCATCGTCGGACGAAGAAAGTGATGAATCACGGGGAGATAAGTGATTTTAATCAGTTTGGAACTGGTTTTGAAAGGAGCCACTGTACGCTTTCGTGTTTATTTCAAATTTAGGGGATTTGATTATTCTGAAACCCTAATGGTGTCATCACAATCTCGTATTAAATAAATAAGAAATAATTAATTGTGTTGTAATAATTTTATTAAATTCTATTCGGCAAGTTTAATACGAACTGTTTTGTTACGTTAAAATTGTATTTATAAATACATTTTTTTCCTTATCTTCACTTTTTTGTATAAATTTATTACACAAACGAGGTTTTAATAATAATAAAAACTTCTAGATCTAAAATCAATTAAATCTCGAAAATTGAAATCTTATCACTTTCTTAAATCAAAAATTCAATATAAATCAACCATCCGCCGTGATAACCTTATCATCTTCTACAAAACTATTTTAATTAAATTCCTATATATACGATACTTTAAACATTTTCAAATTTTAATTTTTTTTTTTTTCCAATCCGTAAACCATCAATCTCCACGATAACCTTATCACCTTCTACGAGACAATTTTAATTAAAATCCTATATATACACGTTATTTTTAAATATTGGAATTTTCAAATTTTAATAGTTGTCCTCGATCCAAATCCACAAAAATCAATCAAAAAAACTTTACACATTTCGTTTATACCAAACCGAAAATTCCATCAATCAACAATTATCGTCCATGACCTCCTACGCGAGTCTTATTCCTCATACTAGAGCGCGGCGCTACTACTCATGAGAGAATATAGTACGCACAAGTGGACTGTGGTCGGTCGTTCAGTCAGCGAGCGCGACAGGTTGAGATGTGTTTCACTGTACACACACGCGAGCGCACATACACTAACGCTCGCACACACGAGTCGAAACAGAACTTGGAAGAGTACGGTCATACGCGCGTTGGCCCGAACGCGCGAGAGAGACGCGGCTAGTCCAGTGGTGATTCCATTCACTGATTGAAATCTCCGTCCATTTGTCACTGTCAAGGAGGTGGCGATAGCCTCTCTCCTCTCCCGTTTTCTTTCTCCGCTTCCCGCTCGTATGCACGGCTCATCGGTCCAGGCCCATTATTATTTCAACGAGAGAGGCGACCCTTAACGACCAATCGACGCGTCCAATATTAATTTCTTATCGATTTTCCACCAACCGCGTACCATGGAAAGCTTTCGTCGATCGTAGACACGCCAATCCGACGATTTGCAAACCGATTATCGGAGCCGTGTTACTTGCCCGACAGATTTCCTCTATGTGTATTATAAATTACGATCGCACCTCGTACACACGCCACACGATTAGCGTTATTTGGTATGCTTATGATTTATCATCGAGTGGCAGACGTAACGAAGGTCTCTCTTTTAAACGTGATCGAGATAGTGATTCATCTGTGAATATTTTCTTCGCGTGAAGAGACATGTATATTTTGGACGAGCAGACGTTAGCCTGAAGCGACGGAAAAGTGTGTATATATGTATATAGTAGAGGTTAGAGAAAGATGGAAGATCAGGTTCGTTAAATCGACAAAAAAACTTCAGACTTCGCGTTTTTAGTATTTACTCGTTATATGCTCCGAGAATTTCACGAAAATAATATGCCATAAATTTCTTTAAATGTTTGAGTTCTCGCTCTCTCTTTGTTTTTCGCTGTCATATTTTATATAATTATCGATAAAATAATGCTCGATTGCAAATATACGCTCGTTTCGAGAATATATAAATTTTTAAATATTGTGTACAATTTTGCAATATTTTAAAATTTCATACACTTTTTTCAAATTAAAAAATTGAAAAACCTTATTGTATCTTTTAAAGATCTAATTGTTGAAAAGAATTTTCTTTTTCTTCAAAATATTAAATATTTAACATTGCAAAATTGTGCATAAATGAATTCTTAACTGATGGAATAATCTCACTCACCTGGAGGAACGCGACGGTGATCCAGAATCGATCTAGCGAGTTCCTTAGACCGGCGACACGAATCCGCTACCCATGGATTGCGAGCTGAAACAAACAAATAATTTTCAAAATTATTTTCTTTCTTCTTTATTCAAAATTTTATACAACATGATACTTGAAATAAAATTTAGATCTAATTTAGAAACAATTAATTCTACTCCATAATATCCACATTAATATATCCGATTATTAATCTTCGACGCTCAAACAAAATTTTAATTTTTCCACATACCAATTTTTCAGAATCTCAAGACTCGAGAAAACTTACCCCTTATAGAACGGTTTGAACGCGGTGGTGGCCTCCGTGGGCGGTAAGCTGGCAGTGGTCTGATGCTGGTGGAGAAT